TGTTGCTCTGCCCTCCAGATCCCAGTGTGCACAGGGACTGTCCTCTTGACTGCAAAGTCTATGTAGGCAATTTGGGAAGCAGCGGTAACAAGACTGAATTGGAGCGTTCGTTTGGGTACTATGGCCCCTTGCGCAGTGTGTGGGTAGCCAGGAACCCCCCTGGTTTTGCCTTTGTGGAGTTTGAGGACCCCCGTGATGCGACAGATGCTGTACGTGAGCTCAATGGAAGGTATGGAGCAATCGCATATTGCTGCTTGTGGCGTTGGTTATTGTTTAGTAGCTCTCAGCTTGGGTGTTTCAAGTACATTTAAATGGTTTGCTTCTTCCAGTGCTTCCATTGTTGTGCAGCGTAGGTTTAAAGGGAGTCTAAGTTCTGTGCTTTGTTGGCTGTCGTCTTAATCACAGAACGCTCTGCGGGTGCCGTGTCCGGGTGGAACTGTCCACTGGAGAGAAACGTTCTTGGAACAGGGGGCCGCCCCCTTCATGGAGCCGCCGACCTCGGGATGACTACCGTCGGCGCAGCCCCCCCGCACGCAGGAGGTAAACCTGCCCTTGTCTTTTCCACTTGTAAGAAGTGGCTTTGAAATCTTGTCCTTGTTAGTCACTTTCCCTGGCAGTTTTAAAAAAATCAAGGTGGAGTTCCGCGATCACATTTCCTGTTAAGCCACAGGCCTGGTTTTACTGAATCCACAGAATATTTTGGGAAGTGAAGAATAGCTGCAGAATAGTGCTGGTTTTATTGCATTTATGATGTGTAGTATTGACTGTCAGCTAGCAAAGTTGTGGCATTGCACGTACACCAGATGTGGTGCTTTTTGTTTTGGATTAGCTTTTTTGCTCCCATCCCTCATTATAAAAGCAGCAGGTTAGAGCTGTTGCTGATGGTACTGCAGGATACACTGCAGTCCTAAACTAATGAATCAAAACTTGTGGCCATTCGGTATGTTGCTAGTTTGCGTTTCTTGGAGCCTAGATTTATTGCTTTGGGGCAGATTCTTTCAGAATGTGCACTGGATGTCTTGTTAGCCTTTGTTTCATTATGAAGTTTGCTTTTTAATCTATATTAATAAAAACGAACCCCGTTGCAGAGTCATCACCATGCCTCTTCTCAGCACCCTCTGAGTTGGTCAACTAGTCCTCTTTCAGCATCATGTGACCAGCGTGCCCCATCAACTTGGCTGGTGTCATGTCACATGACCCAGGCCTGGCCAGTCGTCAGGTTGCACCGCCCATTGGTTCCTGACCATGCTGTTCTCAGCGTCCTCTCCAACCTTAAATCGGCAGCGGCCTACCTCATATTTCCGACCAGTCAGCTATTTACGTTCCCAATGTCAACACAACCTACAAGCAGCAGCCCTCGGCTAACCAATAAAAGCAGGAAAAATCCGCAGCCAGCCCCCAACAGCCAACCATCTAAACACCTTGCAACATCTGGCAAATCCTTTCAGCATACTCTGCCTTCCCGGCCTCCAGTCTGCTTTTCCTTCGCCATTTCTAGCTTGTTGAGAACCAGAAAAACTAGTAAGTTTTTCCCTGCTTCATACAGTTTACTCCTGGTTCATTTTAAAAGCTGCTTCATGAGGTTAACCGATTTTTGCTTAAACCTTCGAAGGTGTGTCAGTTTAAAGGTGAACAGGTCCCGTTGTAGGATATGACATTCAAGTCGGTTGAAAAGATCATTGTAGGTATGTCATTGGAGAGCTGTCACCTTTAAACTCCTAGAACAGAAATGGATGAAAAATTAATGTTCGTTGCCCAATAGAATGTCTGGGCCATGGTTTAGTATGACTGGACCTGGATGTGTGTAGTGGTGTATGAGCCTGGTCCTCAGTAGCACCAGTCACCTCGGTAGTGTGTGCCTGCATTTGCATTTTTATTAAATGCGTGCAGTTCCAATAAAATTCCCTCTCCTCCCCCACAGCAGTTGAGTCCAGGCTTCCTCTTGGTGCCTTAGCATGTTCTTGTCCTTGCATTGTCTCTCTACAGAGACGTGCAACACCTCTGTCCAAGTGTGGGCTTGAGCTTCCCCCCACCATCTGCCTCCTAATGGGGACGCTAGGGACCCTCCCCAGGTGATGGGGGAAAAGCGATAGCTCCTGTGGGGTGTCTGCAGAAGTAGCACTTGCCTTTCAGAACCTTCCCTAAGTTTTCAGTGATTTTTCTGACATACTCTCTCTATCTCTCTCCATCCTCTGTTCTCCCTGCACCCAGATCTCCACGTAGGAGGAGCGGCAGTCGCAGTCGCAGCCGGTAAGTCATGTTTTGTTCCCATTGGCTTAGCCATGCCTCCTATTAAAGCTTTTAGAATTTGCCTTTAATATAACTTATGCTTGGTGGGATTTGCACCTACATTAAGGCATTTTGGATTTGTTGTGCAGATCTCTCTCCAGAGACAGGAGGAGGGATAGGTCCTTCTCTCGTGACAGGAACCACAAACCTTCACGCTCATTCTCCAGATCTCGCAGGTAATGGTTTGCTCCATTGGTTCTGTCCTTTTAGCAGTGATGTGTCGTGAATTAGGCAGTCTTGTTATGATTTTCCTGTTAGATTTAGCTGGCTGTAAGCTAATCAGCCATGCCACCACAGTTCCAATTAAGACCTATCATTCATGAGATATGGCATCTCACTTGTGGTGCATATAAACTGGTAATCGGTGTGTAAGTTTCAGTACTGAACTAACCTATCAATTTTTTTTTCTTAGTCGTTCCAGGTCTAATGACAGAGTAAGAAGAACCTGAAAGCATTGTCTGAAGAACTTGCTTGATCATACTTTAAGATTTATATGGACTTTGAGCTCTTTAAAATGTCCCTTTTCAGCAGTTTTTCCTGTGACGTGCAAGGCGACCAATTCCAACAGTGTATGCAAGATAGTAATATGCCGATTTGTACAAATGTGTTAGTTCTTGTATAGTCCAATGAGCACTGTGCCCATCTGGACATTGAGATCTGTAAAATGCCTGAAGGAGGGTGATACTGTTGGCATGTTTGGATTGCCATGTGTGATGTGAAATGCCCCCCTTTTTTATTTTTTCCCCTTTTCCACCTGTCTTTTGAATTAAATTTGTTTGTAGAAATCTGGTGTTTTTGAGGGTGCAGCATCTCCCTTTACGAAGTGTGTGTGTGTGTGTATATATTGATGTAGAAGTACATCAAGATGCATCTCATGCTTCCCAGATTTTATGTGCTGCTGACCTGTCGCCTTCGGGTAGTTCTAATTTTTATGGGTTCGTTAGCTGGGTGTTTGATTCAGGGATGTCAGTGGGGCAGCATTTCTAGGTATGGTCCACTTACTGTGACTGCAGTTAGCTTCAGGAATGATGCACAGACTTTATCACTAGGTCATTCATAAAGTTGCATCTTCGGCATCATTGATTTCACCCTTCCATAATATTTGTATAATCCTTGGCAATAACCTATATAGCCTCCACATTTTTCTCGTCACTGTCTGCTAGTAGTTATTCTCATTCTTCAGTTGCATTTCTCTCCCAAGTTTTGAATGTTTGTCAAGGCACCATATAAGCCAACAAACACCCTCCCCCACAAAACAACAACTTGTGTTTTCAAGGAACCATCATTTTTATTAAGATACTTAGAACTCATACTATTTTGAGACTAATTTTATTAATTGCATTGGTATTACCAGGTTAGAACTGCACTCCTGAGATTTCCCACACTCTTGCTTGCTAAGCCATCGGTAGGGCGACCCGAGGTCAGCACGGTCCCGCCCGGTGCCTGGCGTACGAACTAAAATCAGGGCGCCCACTCCGTCAAGGTTAATTAGCTCACACGGTGTGACGTGCGAGACGTGCAAATGTCACAACCGTTTTTTTTTGTGCGGGCTGCCTGTCCCGCCCCGGCAACATTCTGGGTGGCTGCCAATGTTATCCATGCCTAAATCCGCCAGAAACTGCAGAATTCCTTTTCGTAATGCCAGATTTCAGTAATATTCAAAGCTATTCGAACCGATTGAGATCGGGGCTCATAGCTGGCCAGTTTAAAACGGGTTATTGTTCTATGTTCGTATATTCCACGAATGCATCGTATATCGTTTCTATGATTTCACACTACATCAAATATGAAATATGTATTTCCGATGCAGTTTTCATTCATACACAGAAATTTTAAACCGTAGAAGGGACTAGTTAAACCCTCGATGGAAAATATCCAAAGATAAACCAATCAATCTCGAAAACAGATACAATGAAAGGGAGGATTTCCATCTCCAATTTATACAAATTCCGCGCATGCTTCGCCGAACCTGCTTGGCATGCTGGGTCACCCCCTCTAAACAGCCAATCCGTGTCCACTACGCGCCTGAATCCTCCTCATCATCTTAACCAACCCGCTCATTTTATCCAATCATATGCACCTTCCCGCCCCCATGTCCAATGTGAATTCGCACCACCCCTAACTGGAGAGCCAAACTCGGATTGTGAGTGGTCTGTGGCTATCAGTGATGTAAGTAATTCATAGGTACATAGCATATCTATGGGTACATAGTAACAGAACTGAACCACAGATCTGCTTCTCACATTTTTGCTGAAATTTAGCGATTGACGTAGTTGCTGGGGGTGGAGGGATTGTTTCTATAGCTACCAAGTACAAATCGGTGCGCCTATAGTACGCAACCATCTCAGAATTTGGCGCCGCATTGAGCACAGAAAGGTGCGACGTCACAGTACTTGTCAGTTGGCAGTGCTGAGATCTTAATTTCACGCCGAAACATTAGACATTCCGGGTACAGCAATGCTGTAAATCGCTGTAGTGTGTAAGATTAGGGTTACAAATGCCGCCTGCGACCACGATAGCGAGAATTATACGGAATGTATTTATGAGAAGAAATATATAAAACGTTCTACTTGTAAGAAAATAATTTGCGAATGAACACCATACACCGCTAATGATGATTTTAACAGCAGAGTAGGCCTACTTGGGGTGTATGTGTGTGATTCTTAATTAAATATTTTATTTAATAAATAATTTAGATAAATATATATTTAATGTACCAATAAATTATACAAACTTATAGGTGTTCTATATTTAACTTTCCCGGGTTCGGTGACTGCGGGAAAAACGTGGAAGAAAATTCACATGTGTTTCTTGGGTCTCCAGCACACGTATCTGCGGCTCAGGCTCCGCCCGTGCAGGAGCCGCGTGGCATCCCGCCCACCGACATTATAATTCCTCGGCGCCGGCAAACGTTCATCATATTTTTTCGCGAACGACAGAACCTAGTCTTATATTGAGACTGGGTGCTAATTGGCGCTCTTGGTTTGCGCATATTACATATATATGACCGTTTTCTTCTAAGATACATTGCTATATTTCTAAGTACAACGTAATAATAGAAGACCCGGTCTTCTTTTCCAGCAAAACTAATTAATCTATAACCAGTCGATGACTTCACTGGATCAGGGCACGTAAGTTTGCCGGTTTATTTTCTTTGAAACTTTTGAGTTTTGTATAATCTGTAAAGATTTTGTTGTTGGTGGGCAGGTTTCAATGATTTGTTTTTTAATGTGTGTTTATATAAATTGGTTTGTAAGGACCAGATGCTTTGTAATTAACTGCTTCTTATATCACACTTACAAGTTAGTACAAATAACTATGGACTGTTCATTATGAATGGAATAGTCATTTCTTGGCATGTTATTTGGCTTTATAGCATTTTGTTTGTGTGCTTCTCTATCAGACACGAGCTCTGTATTCACGTGCTCTGTTCCCGAATACGTCACCGCATTCGTACCCGCCCCTCCGCTTCGGCTTGTCTCATTGCCACGCCCCTTTAGTTTTGTTTTACTTTATCGGTATTGAGATGGAGAATATTAAACACCGTACATTATTTTCCTGAATGTGGTGGTTTAACTGATCCATATTTATTAATTCTATCGACTTTATATGTTATGTCTCAATACTAAACCACTGACTACTGAATATCTAATTAATAATTAATGTATGGGACGAATAATGAATATGTTACATAGACATGTTCACGAATGTCATCGCTGTCCAGTTAGATACAACATTCTGAGTATTGTTCCCATTACCTGTATATTTTTGTCGGCATATTTAATAACACTTATATTTGACTCCTTTTATGGAGTTATTGAAATATTTCACTCATACTCTGCACCATTATTTTTACATCACCGACTGCCAGTGAATTTGTCAGCTTTTCCATTAAGCTTGAAGTAGTTTATCCGGGCTTGCTGAATTACATAAATGTGCCGTAGCTTTAATGTTGCAACCTGGGCTGTCTTCTGATATCTGCCAGCATACTCTGAAACATCCATCCATCCATTTGCCATACCGATTATCCTTCTGGGTCGTGGGGGTTCCAGCACCTATCCCGGAAGCTGAGGGCACGAGGCGGGCAACAACCCAGGATGGGGGGGCAGCCCATTGCAGTACTCTGAAACAATGTCGACAAAAAGGAAATTAAACAATATGAATCGTAAAGTTTGAAAATACACCTAGGATTTTAATATAATCCTTTTACACCTCAGTGTGAAAAATATGAAACATCTGCATCAAATATTAGGCCTATAAAAGTGTTCTCAATTTGATCGAGATATTTTACTTTATGTTTTGCAAATATTGAAATGTCTATATAGGAATTGACATAGGGTGGAGTGGTGGTGCTGAGGCTTAGGATCTGTGCCAGTACTCAGAAGGTTGCTGGTTCAAATCTTGTGAATATCTGGGGTGATTCTATCCCGTTGGGCCCTTGAGCAAGGCCTTTAACCTGCAATTGCTTCACCCTGGGTATGATGTTAATCTACATCCAGCTTTGCAAGCAGATCCTCCAACTTGCAGGGAAACTTGGGGGTTGGTGGCAGGACTGGCACTCCGGCCACCAGGAAAAACTCACGCTGTTGTATTTGGGCTATTATAGTGTTGATGCATCACCCACTGCATGGCTGCATTCAGGTTATCCTCCCTGAGGTGGTCTGTCATGTGGTGGGTGCAGCAATGCACTATAATCAGTACATGATCCCTTACCTCTCTCCTATATATAGGAGTTACTAACTGATACATTTAATTATATGTGAATATTTTATGTTTTGAGACAACCAGCGTTATGAATTACTAGTATATTTAGCAATGGCATCTTAATATGTCTAGAATTATGTTACCATATTGAGGAAAAATACCATAGGTTGATGGTCAGATATACAGTGTTCACAGAAATTCTTGGGATGCTTTGCTTAATTCAGTGAAAATATTGCACATGTATTGGTTAAATAAGAAACATTATTACTTAATTTGTTTACAAATATACATACATATATATCACATAGTTTTACGTAAACATAGTAAAAAAAACATGTAGTAATTGAAAGCCAAATTATAGTTCTAACAGAGCTGTTCTGACTTCATTGACAAACAGTCTCACTGGGTGATTTTTAATTAGTAACACCTTTGCAATAACACGAAACACCAAACATTTGTGTTTAACATCCCTTTGGTAGCCAGTGACTACAATTGCAATTAACAGCAAAATTGCAAGAATGGAACTGAATGAGTCAGTCAAAAAAATTAGACTTAATAAAAAAGATGTCTATAGTAAGTTATGTGCAGATATGTTTAAACTTCTTGTCAATGGACTTAATTTATTTATTATAATTATTAAATATGAAAGCAATAAATGTGCAAAATGTTTACGTTCTAAATGGAAGAAAAAAATCCACCACTAGTGGTCGCCATAACATTACACCTAGTACCTATGTATGCCTTATGAGTCAGTGAGGCTGTTTTTTATGTATTCTGTTAAGTACTTGCCCAGACATGCTCAGATTGATTCTGGGCTGAGAATGTTACATTTATTTCCAGCTGGGACTGCTGGACAGAGGGTCTTTGGTTAGGACACAACTGAAATGACTTAGGCAAGCTTATTTGTACAGCACATTTCATACAGGGAGCTAATTTAAAGTGCTTTACATGAACATAATAAAGCAGATCAATTTAAAATCAAATTGCATTTAATCAATTAATTAAAAAGAAATTAAAGACATTGAAACGTATGGTAGCTTATATGGTGTGGGCTATATTCTGAGCTACACATTACAATATCTGAAACACCTTTACTGAGCTTGCCTAACATTTTTTGTCCTCTTGTGTTATAATTATATTTAGCCACAATGTATTTTGCATACAATTATGATGTTTATTTGATCTTTGTCTGACTCAACCGTCTAGTTTTTGTTGTGCTTTATTTTTACTTTATTCTACTTATATTTTTTTTAATTTATATTACTGCTGCCGCCTGTAGACTTTGCTATGTATTTATGTAAATTTATATTCTTATTCTATTTTCTGTGGTGAAAGGAGGATGTGCAAAGTAAGAATTTCATTGTAGAGCGAAACTGTTTGTTTTATGACAATAAAATGCTCTCTCTCTCTCATGTTCGTGTAGATCCATGTCGAACGAGAAGAATTTCCCAGTGGCTCACGGGAAGGGACGGGCACGGCGGCGGCTTTTCGGGCCTGTAGACCATGAACTGCTCCAAGTGGAGTACCAGAACGCCCTGAATAGGGAACTGGAGGATGCTAGATACCGCTGGGGTTTTGACTTCCTTACTGAGACTCCTTTGGAGGGGAGTGACTTCATCTGGGAGGGGGTCTCAGGGTCAAAGCTTCCCTTACTGTACCGCCCATCCAAGATTCCCCAAGAAACTGGCTTGAACAGCAAGAAAAACATACCTCGCACTCCAGAGAGGTACATCTCCCTGACCCTGGCCCTGGAACAGACACCCGAGAAGAACCAGGCTGGCAAGACGAAGAGGAAGCAGAGCAGCATTACAGGTGTGTAGCGGATGGATAATGTGAGTGGGGTGTAGTCAGTCAAGAAGGTGGTGTCGTCATTTGGAGAAGTGATCCAGCCAGATGAAGGGTCAATGTGAGTGGGTGCTGTACTGGGATGGAGACGTGGTGTGTAGGAATGTAGCAGTGGAGGAAGCTGACTTCCCATTTATTAGATGGACATTTTAAGTCCTGGTAGTAACTGAAATCACCATGTAGATGATACAAAAATTAGTAAATTTGCTGGTCACACAATTTGAAAATTCTAGATAATTTAATTCTGTGAAATGTATTGAAATGTACTATTAAAGTCATGGGTGTACTCTTCAAGTCCTGGCCCAGTCTCAGAATGCCATGCGCATTAACTCTACTCCTTTCTGTTTCCGTTAGATTTCTACAAGTCTAAGCGCCGTATGGTGGCCACGCCCAGGAAGTCAGGGCAGTGAGCAGAGCGGGATGTTTCTGGAGAAGCAGCGCTTCCTGCCTCAGCGACAACCATGCCAGGGTCCATACTAACACAATCAGGAAGCTAACTGAATTATTCAAGTACACACCAATTGTAAAGACCTCTTTATATTTGCTTAAAGTATAAATGGATCTCTCCATCAAGGACAAACATCTGTCTTTGGCAACTTGAGCTTTCTAAATTGGGGTTTAAATAGGATACATGGTGTTTCAGGTTCATGGCAGTGTCATAATTCAGACCTTAAACGCTGTCCGTATAGCACTGATGGTACTATAGGTCCAATTTCCTAAAGCCTGCAAGACAAACTCTAATATGCAGTTACAGTTGTGGTATACTTGTATCTCTGTCATTCTACTGAAACAGTGACCGACTCAATCAGTCCTTTTTTGATGGATCATTTTGTTATTGCTGCTTGAATTATAACTATTTATTTAACTGAATTTCCATAAAAAACAGTTAAAGATTCAGTGACCACAAAGGTATATACAGAACTTCCACTGAATTTTACAGTGGCATGTAGGTACTACAGAAATGTCATTTTCCTGCAGATGCTGCTGAAAACTGAATAGCAATTTCAGCCTTTGACATCTCTTCCCAGCTTTAGCAGAGGGTGTCCTGGCACCTCTTCTCTGGGTCTGCCTTGCCAAAAAGGACCTCCGTTCATTACTAAGTCGGACTGACCAGGCTTTTTGTTGTCTCAGTACAGATAGGGTATATTCCTGGAGTAGCACTTAGCCTTTCGGTCTGTCTGAGCTGTAGCTGTATATCAGTTCTACATACAGTATATGCAATTCTAGAAAGAAGGCAAGTTCAGTTTTTCGTCGAAAGTGCTTTAGCCCCTCCAAAGGCTCTGTCCCTGTTTCTGACCACTGATGATCAACCTTCAGGGTGGGTTAAACTGAATGTAGCTACATTGAAGCCCATATTGTCAGCATTACACTTTGTGATGACTATTTGTCAAACTATATATATATATCATGGTTTATCTGTAATCCACGTTATTCCTTTATCGTTTATTTGAAGGATTCCACAATTAACGTAATATGCATTGTTTATGTTTTGTTTAATCATTATTTATTCCTATTGCGCCATGGGCGTCGCCACCATTAAATTTGAGGGACAAATTTCATAATGTCATAATCACATTTCACAATTATGCGTTTGGACCCCCCCTCATTTAACATAAACTATTAGTTTTATGTCAGTGTCCCCCCCACCCACATTCAAAATGCTTCTGATGCCCCTGTATTGTGCCAATATAATTTTCCCTCTGGTCATTGAGAAGGATTCTCAGTATCTGCCCTGATTAATGGAGTTGTAGACATCTGACATACCGCTAGATGGGAGCGATGCCACCTGCTGTCTTAGGAAGTGCAGAGGATCATATCAGAGGAAGTTGGTAATGCAATTTCCCCGTAAAAAAGTAACTCCGTTTTGCACTTATAGCTTGCTATGTAAATACAATTATTTTGCACATAAAACTTGCTCATGTCAAAATCATGAAATGTATTATTTATTAAGCACTGTTTGTGCAAATTGCAATTAAAATATTTCTATTGTCTCAAATGTGCTTTTTTCTTTGTCATTGTATTTTGTGTTTGCTTAAAGAAGTAACATGTATAATATAGTATACTACATGTAAGTATCTCTGTGGTTTTCCTACAAGGGATCCCTATCTAGGTCCAGTAAAATTTTTCTCACATAACACTAGAAAACACACATAATGCCACTATGACAAGGTAAAGCACCACAGATTAAACAAATAACCCGTGTCTTACTTATCCAAACTCTTTCCAGTACTAGCACCAAAACAAGTGAAATGTGTTTCTCTGTATTCAGCATAAGTGTAGGTGCCTAACACTTCTCAAAATTAATCTCCTTAATTAGCAACAAATGGTTCTGTACCATAAAGGCAATGTGGGGAAACATGCTGAAAGGTGAATATGACCGATCCTTGAAGAGGAATGTACAAAACTGCAACATTTCATGTCAGTTACACAACAATACTGGCAGTAGTACAGGGCAGTTACACAACAGATAAACGGCATAGCACTGGGTAACTTATACAGAGAGATCCATGCAATACGCACGACACTTAGTGGTCAACATATAAGATGCCCCTGTTTTAAGTATCACAATAGAATAACCTTGTCATACACCTTAAAGGAACTGCAGTGATGCAAAATGCCCACTTTAGACATAAGCCATTCAGTTTCCTATGAGTGTTTGAATGACCCCATTAACCTTTCTCATCTTTGAGGCGGGAATGTAATTTTCTGCATATGTTCAGATGTATACAACACTGTTGTTTACCTCATTTCCCACATTTTAATTCCTAACAGAAAGTCCCGAGTAACACTGAAACAGTTTAGTCAGTTTTATTCAAAATCTCTTCTTTGAAATCATGGTATAGCCTTATAAATGATCTTTTTCTGCAATCTAAACCAAGACAATTAAAGACTCGTTTGAGTTACACAGTTCCATTATAACAGGAAAAATTATGCAATTTCTGTGACAAAACTCAGTATCATCAATGGCAAGGAAGATATCCAGAAGATAATATCTAGAATAAGCTTAGGTTTTGTCATGTAAGTACCATTCACTCACTAATATCTTTAAATTACAAATAATTTGCATATCTGGACTGAAAAGTATCGATTTACCATAAATGTAAAAATTTGTAATCATGTCGAGAGAGCAGAACATTTGTTGCTACCAGGGCCCTGTAATGTAAACAAAAGAAGCCCTTCTAGAAACTAAGAACTAGTCTCATAGATTATATAACACAGGCCCCCCTTTCAGATGGTAGTTTAGGTTAAACAGGCAGAGATGATACAGTTAGAGAGCACACTAGTTTCTTACTGCTACTGCGTAACTGCTTCGTGTAAATACCACGTTAGCTACAAAGCAGCAATAATGCCAGAATATATGCACACCAGTAGTTAGATTAACTGTAAAGGGATATTTGTATATGGTGATTAAAGATAAATTGTACAGCAGTAAGCAGAACCATCGGCCTACACATGCACAGACAATCCTATTTTCATACTGAGTGTTTCATACTGAGGTGTTAAACTGCCATTCCATTTCCTGTGGAGAGCTGAGCAAATCTTCTGTTTAGTTGTCTTCTTTTAGATTGCAAAACAAGACATTGCGTTTGACTGATCATATTAAAGATATTCGGTAACAGTGGCTGTCTTAAATTCAGCAGTCAAAATTCTGATCACTTTAAGCAAGTGTGCAGTTTGGTGGCTGGTTTACAAGAAACAGGAAGTTAATAAACTCGGTTCTTTTTTGACAGTTTTTTTTTTGACGAGTTCATGGAGGAAGTCTTGAGCTGTTGTCATAGTAATGGGCAAAGGAAACTTTTGTATGGTGAAAAAAAGTCATGAAGCAGGCCATGAAGTAATAGGAAGGTTCAGGGTGCTGAACGTTCTGCCAACAATCGATTAAGGTTTAATTTTTCAGAATGCATAATGGTTGCGCGACTTAAGGTAAGAGTCTATCTCAGTCTCATCTTTTAATATTTGCAGTCAACTTAGGTCACAACTGAAACACGTCTGGCAGTGGCGTGATGTAATTCAAAGTTTAATGTTTATGCGAAATACCATACTGTTACACATTGATAAGTGTTTTGTGGCAATCATTTTCAGAAAGGCACTATATCAGAATTGTTCGATTCATAATGACATTTTTTTTCTGCTGTATGTGTGTGAGAGTAGGTGTGGATAGCAAAGTATTATCACAGTGAAAATTCAGCTGTGTACGAAGATTTTAAAGAAGCCTACAGATGCTTCTTTAAAAGCTTCTGACTTTCACAGAACACCTGCACGTTGCAGGGACACTGAAAACTGCATGTCAAAGCATGTAACTGATTCATGTCTTACAGTTGTACTGCTGAAGACTGTACAATACAAGATAGACAGGTGGCTTTTTCTGTTATGATTTAAAGTAAAATTTAATTAAGATTAAATTATTTGTAAAGATTTTTAATAGTCATGGAAATTATGTATAATCTCGGGTATTTACTGCATATTCTTTAATGGATATTCTGTAGCAACCGGAGAGACAGGACAATTTGTTGAACGGGGTCAGTCGTTCTAAAGGAAGCATTAATCTTCCAGCATAATTAAGCTTCCCCCAAATACTATTGGTGTTTAGCAAACTAGCACAACTTTTCTTTGGAAGGAAAAATATTTTTCCGTTGTTCTTCTACATTTTATAAAAATAAAACTATTCAAGAATTGTCCCACGTCGCTCCTAAATTAGTAATATTATGTCTTGGAAATCAATTTTTAATATGGCTCAAACATTTTCAGATGCAAAAAGCATAGGTCATATATCCATTTTTGAACAGCTGAACTGGTGTATTATTTTATGTCTAATTTTATCTGTACTGTACGAGTAACTGATTAAATCTAGTAAGGAGTAATGCAGAACTGTTCAGGTTAATTAATGAATAATGCACTGGGCTTCTATTTTTGATAACTGAAATATCTATAGAATTGTCATGGCTGCCCAAGAAATCCGTGCAACCTAAATACATCTTGGTACTACCGTATTATTAAGATGTTATGAAATAAGATTTATTTTACACATTTCTTACCAACTGTGAAAAACTGCAGAAACACTGCAGAAATCCAACCACATACACAAGATGCCTGAATTTCTGTAGCACATTTTCACATTGTCTATAGACAGTACCATCATATTGTTGGTTGGTCATCTATAATGTGACAAATCTATTTATCTATTTGGTAAAAGTAAAAAATGACAAACTAGACCTTTTGTTATTAACAGGTCTCTAAATATATTGTGAGACCTGTGTTTAAAGACACTGGCCTTGTCCAGTCTCATTTTGTAGTGATCATTGTGCAGATAACATCAACTGTAAGCTACTGTGCTCCACTTCATTAAAATGATGGCCATGGAAAATTTGCTACAGTTTTCATCTTTTTTTCTAGGGCGAATCATGTCCCAGGTCACATAATTTATTTTTACCTTTTAAAATAATAATAATTTAAAAATAAAAGATTACTTCAGTACTGCTGAAGCTTAATTTTACTTGGATAGGCACCCTGCTCTTTAATGAGGTATTCTTGATTGTCAGATCGCGGGCGATAAGCTAAAAACCCTTTGCTGCAGTGTGTGTCAACCATGCCGAGGGCCTGATGATAGGCATGCAAACAGAAACTAGCTTTTTCTGGTACAGTATATCACCAGGAAGCCTTGCACACTTCATTGTTGTCCAGCTCTGTGTGGTATATCATGTGACTTATAGAACTGGACATAAAAAAGCAATTTGATGTGAGAAACAGTGTTTTAGTACATTTATAATATAGATGTTTAGCTGGGAAATCTTTTCACTTTGCAAAAAAATTATACACCATGTAGTAAATTATGTGGTTAACACTATCAGCAACATCAGGCAGCATTTGTCACTTATGTGCATGTAAATAATCTTGTTTTGCAGTTTGTACAAGCAAACTGCTAACTGGATATTGTGGTAAATGAACGAGTGCAAACCATCAAACCTAACATTCTGACACAAAATTTGCTTCACACGGTCATGCATTTGGGAAACAAAAAAGTAAGCATAGTGAATGTTTGCACACTTGTTGATAAAACAATGCTTATGCAGACTTCTCACTTGTCAGAAAGATGATATATGCTAATATGAAACCACTTTGGCCTACTTTTTTTTTCAGCCATACAGGAAATAATGCAAGAAAGCTGACTGGTTATCAGAAAGAGACTTAATCTTCTTTGAAAATATAAAGATATTAACTATTAATTTAAAATGAACTTTCAGAGTATAGGTATTAACAAGAAAAATAATTCTGTAATTTCAACACTTGGAAAAGCTACATTTAAATGTAACAATCTCATCTCAGGTACAACCATGCTTTGTGTTCTATTCTGCCTGGGACAGGTTCCCACCCCCAGTGACCATGATCTGGATATGTAGTTAGAAGGTGGCTGAATTGATGGATGGATGGAATTTGTACCCACAGAAAACTCTAGGATTAATCTGTCCTGTTTGTCATTCAGAATAGTAAAAATAGTAATCTTTGTAATTAGTTGCTTTGGTACACTAAAGTGGGAGATCTGAATGAAACTGATCAAATGTGTCCAATTTCAGGAATTTCTGTGAATTACAATGTCAAGCAAGAAGTCAGGAAAAGCCCGGAGAATTGGCTCCACCCGCAAAGATTTGCGTGGTCTGGGCAGCCAGATGAGGGACAAAGAGGCAGACGTCTTTGCCACCCTGCTGGAGGAATCAAGGACCTTGGAACATGAATCAGCAACCACAGGGGGAGAACCAAAGCCTATGGAGGAGCAATCAAGACCCATGGGAGAAGAATCATGGACCACAGGGGGAGAACCAAAGCCTATGGAGGAGCAATCAAGACCCATGAGAGAAGAATTACGGACCACTGGGGAAGAACCAAAGTCTACAGAGGAGGAATCAATGGCCATCGGGGTAGCATCATGGTCCATGGAGAAAAACTCTAGGACCACAGGGGAGAAACGAGAGGTGGACTATAAACTAGAAGAAAGTTCCCTGTCGGAGAGAACAGCATCTTTGTTGGCACTCGCCCCATCACATGACCCTTACTCTGCTGGCACACCTCACCTGGAATCTAAGAAGATGGAGAAAAAAAAGAAAATGGGGTCCACTCGCAGAAAGCTTCCCACAGATTTGGAAGAACACAGAAGGGAAGGGTGGGATGGTGCAGAGAAAGAGGAATGGCATGAGGGTGGTAAGCATGTAGTGGATGACCAGGCTGTAAGCACGACAGCCCAACCATTAGGAGAGTTACACACAGAGCCACAAAAGGCAAGTGAGTGTCTGGAAGGAAGGGAAGAATCTACCATCACAGGAAAACAGCATGCATTCCACGTTTTAGACATATCCACTATTGAGAACAAATCAGCTGATTCTCAGTTTTACCCTCAAAGTATGTACAGTGAAGAAGCTCAAAAGAATAAACAATCACACATAACCAATGAAAGCAACTTGATTATAAATTTAGACCAATCAGAAGGGAAGCTTACTGATGAGGACACCTATGAGAGGGACCTGCTTCTCAGACAACTTCAATCAACAGACAGTGGTCAACTGGGCCATGTTGATGCTGCTCTACAGCTGCCAAAATCAGAAAGAAGCACTCTACATGAGGACAGCAAACATGAAATGGCTCATTTTGAGCATAAAAAGAGGAAGATGGGTTCTACACGTAAGGGGGGGCATGCCTTACAAATAAAAAGTGACAGGGAACAAGAGATTGATATTTTACCTGAGGAGATGTTAAGAAGCCCTGGAGACTCTGTGGACGTATGTGTGCTACAGGGCAAAGATTCACAAGAGAAAAGCAGACCTGATGTGATACAGTATATTAACATGGAACAAGTAAAAAAGGAAAGTTCGCTGGAGATGGAGGAGAACAAGGAGGCAGAGGCGTTAACGGGAACCAGTAGAGATAAAGAACAGGAGAAACACAAAAGCACAAGAGAAACAAATGAGAAATATACAAAATCAGGGTTGTTGGGCACAGATATGGTTGACAACAGGGAGACACAGGAAGCAACAGCAACAGATATTGTTGAGGACATTTCGGTAGACATGGAAGGGAGGGAGATAGATAGATCAAGAGGCACAGGCATAGCTGAGGAAAATATGAAACCAGAGGTAAGAGAAACAGATGTGGTCACAGAAATTAGAGCTCCAGGATTAGGGGGAACCGGCATGTTTGACAGAGAGACAGAGGAGACAACAGGAACTACAATTCTTGAATTCAACGAGACTCACAGACTTAGAGAAACACACATATTAGAAGACAATGTGGCACAAGAGAACCAAGGAACAGATGGAGGACAAAGAGATGAGGCAGAGAAAGAGAGTGTAACAGATGTCATTCTGGAGGTAAATGTGATGAAGTATGAAGGTGCAAGCAATGAGAAAGAGAGTACAAAAGAGGAAGAAGGAGATGGTGCACAGGCAACAGGAGAGAATTGGAGGCAAACACAGATGATGCAGATTGACTTAAATATGTTAGAGTCATTTTCTTTGGAAAAGTATGAGCAAGAAGTTACAGCCTCAGAAAGAGAGAGGAATTCACCATTAGAGAACCCCTCAGTGGAGAGTTTTTCATTTCAAGATGAATCCAAAACCTTTATTCCAGAGGAACAAGTAAAGTTCACTCCATTTGAGGATCTGCTGGAACCCTGCAAGAATAGCCCATTCTACAACTCAACCCATATGGAAGCACCATCTACAGAAGTTCTACAAAATTTTATAGCGCCCCAAGAATGGGAACACTTAGGCAAAAAAATTAAGACAGAATCGACTCATGGGAATGCAACAAAAAATAAAATGGAGAACAGAAGTAAAGGGGCAGGTGATGATCGAAGTGAATTAGAAGAAATAAGAGCGGAAAAGATAGATGTGAAGCTGGAGAGAGAGGAGAAAGAGACCATCACTGAGAAACTGAACACCATCCTGAGGGACACAGGGGTATTAAAGGAACTTGATATACAGGAAGGTGATAAAAGCATGGCAGAGGAGAAGCAAATTCCCCTGGTAGTAGAGGAGGTCAAAGGAGAACCAGAGGTAAATATGGCAGGAGGAATCAAGGAGAATAAATGGAAGTTAGCAGAAGAGGGAGACATAAAAATGAAAGGGACAAATATTGCAATGGAAGAAAGTGTAGCGGTCTCTCAGGAATTCTCCAAAACAGAAACCACAGACTGCAATAAGGATGATTCTAGCTACGTTTATGATCCTTTCAATAATGTGTCAGTAGATCCAATAGTAACTGACAGGACTGCCACCAATACCCTGTCATTGGAGATGAATCAAAAATCTGATGAGAGCTCTCAGAAAGATTCCACCCGTATGCAGAAAAGGAAAAAAATGGGCTCTTCTCGCAAGGGAGGCAGGGGCCTACACAAGGAGACAGAAAAGAGTGCAGGGTTCAGCAACATAGATGGGTTAGAAGTCAGTGAGCAACAAGGGGAAAGAGAAGAGGAAAAGGCAACAGAGGTAAAGCAAAATGTTATAAATGTGGTGATGGAGATGACAAAAGAGGAAACAAAAATCAGTATGGCGGAGGTGACATCAAAAAGCAAGCACGAAGTCAAGATCACAAACGATAACAGCGGAGCTGAAGACTTTGAAAGCCAACAGAGTGTAACTGAGGATCCTACAGCAACTAATGTTGTAAAGGGCTTTGAACAGCATGAGGACTACTCAGACAGAGCATCCAGCAGGAGTGAGAAAAGAAGAAAGTTTGGTACCTCTCACAGGAGAGGCAGGGAAAGGCTTAAAGAGAAGGAGATACAGGAAATGGCAGAGACTGAAGTGGAAACAATGTCTATGGACAATAAGGAATCTGCTACTGATGAAGTGATGAAATCATTGCAGAATGAAGAGAGAGAATGTGGGAATGAGAAAGCAGAAAGGAAGAGTGGAAGTGGCAGTGACAAATCACTTACTTCCATGGGCGTCATCCCAAATTTGCAGCGGCCCGAGAACTTAGCCATTACCACACAACAGGAATGTTCAGGGTCGCAAGACACATTTCTGCCAGCAGCAAGGAGGAGAAAAATGGGATCCAGACGCCAGGGACAGGATAGTCTGAGGAAGCGAGACCTGGGCCTGGAGCAGCCTGAGGGCAGAACTGCAGAGGCACATATAAATACTGCTGCCCTTCTGCAGAGGATGCAGGAAATTTTCCATCAGCCTGATGTTGAGGAGAAGGGCTGCATCACATGGGAAAATGTGCAGGTACTGATCTAGTAGGCTAATATATAACAACTTGATTGCCTTTTTGACCATCAGTGTTTTTAAACTTAATGAATTATTGTAATGGAATATTACTCATTAGGAAACACATCGATTACATTAGAAAACGTACATTAATTACTGTTTTATTATTGACCCGTTTGTTCTCTTTTATATTTTTAATGAATCAGTTTGGACTTTGCTCGTGAACCCAACACTAAAGGTCCTCCTCGGACCTAAACAGGCATAATTTGTTATTAATGTAGCATTAAATTATCTACCAGCTGTGAAACCATGATTACTTTTTGATCTTTGATCATGCTTTGAAAGATGCACAAACCTAAGAACCCCCTCAAGCTTGATCTATGTAAGCAGTTTGAAGATGGATTAATGGATGGATGGATGAACAAACCAAAAATTAGATACAAACCTGAAAAATATTATTGTTTAGATATTGCTTTATGTATAAGATGCTTTAGTATTGTTATTTGACTAATGGAACTTTTACAAACTGGTTATTTTTTGTATCATTTCACTCACTTTGATATATGAGACAGCTCGATAAAAACTCTTTCGATAAGTAACCCACATCAGTACAACCATATCTTATCGTTCTATATACTCCAGCTGCAGTGTTGTAACTATTGCCTCAGCTTAATTCATAGCAGGCTACTTGCAGTACTTAAAATGGAGCACCATTGATATTCACGTAAATCACGTAAATGAAAGTTATGGTTATATATGTGTGAGCTATGCCAGTGTAAAGATGGTAAAATGCATCTTTGGCATCTTTGGCATTCACAACATGCATCACCGGGGGAAAAATCTTTATTAATTGCACATTATATTATAACAAGCACTTCTAGATTTATGATTAGCTGCTGTCTTTCAGGGCCTGAGCCATGAGCTTGGTCTCAGCATTGAGGAAGTTCACCAGGTGTTCCAGCAGCTGGATGGGGACCAGGATGGCCTGGTGACTCACCAGGACCTCACTGAAAGCCTCGGTGAGTCTTCACCATTTTATTAATCAATGTGGTGGACATATGCCCAGGTAGTCACTAGTGATTAGCAGCAGGAACTTCAGTGTGTCAGAGTAGCAAATGGTACAATTTGCTCAATTGCTAGAAAAACAGTGGGCAAGTGATAAACCTATACTGAGCTTATGAACACCATTATATGTGCCAAATAAGAATAGAATATTTGGAAAAATATACACTACAGCCTGCTGTTCCTGGAAATTTCAGTCCAAGCATACTAGGAAAAGTCTATTTCAATTTACCAAATACATTCCTGTAGTCCAGTGGTTAGCACTGTTCCCTCACACCTCAAGGACTGGGTTTGAGTCTCTGCCATGGTTCCATGTGTGTTGAGTGTTCTCCCCGTGTTGTCGTAGAATTTCCTCTGGCTTCTTCAGTTCCCTTTTGTTTTGTAAGTCAAACATAAAACAATGAATGAAATCTTTGTTGCTAACAAAAGGTAAAATGGCACCTTCCCCAGTATTAAAAATGAAACAAAGTTCGTACTGCTGGCCCTGGTAGAGATCGCCAAGCCCAATCCACCGAGCTGTGAAGTTCCCCACTGAGCCACTTTGCCACGTGTGAAAAACAAAAGAACAGCTTCCAAAAATCACACATATATTCCTTATGTTTAATCCCCCTAAGCACCCTCACATAATGCTACATAAAAATGGTCATACGCAACATAAAATAAGCATGAAATGCTCTCCAAAAAATTACAGATATCTTGTTGGTTAGATGGATAAAAACTGCTTTGGTTCCAATACCTATCCCTAGAGGCACCCCAGCAATTTAAAGTATTTGCTATCCACTACCAGCTCAATTAATGAATTGCTTAAGACTATTGCACAATACTGTATGTGTGTTGTGTGCTGACTGCTTAAGACTATTGCACAATATTGTATGTGTGTTTTGTGCTGACTTCCTAAGACTATTGTACAGCATCATAGATAGTTCACCTTCATATCCAATGCAGGTCCTAAGACCCCCCCCCCCCCAAAGGTTAATTAAGTAAGACCCCTCATTGTTTGGACTTGTATGTGACCTTTGAGAAACTTGATTTATTTAATCCAGTACAGTATAGAGACCCAGCACCTAAAGGCCAGTTCTTTCACCCTTCTGTGCACAAAACAGAATCCTGCAAGCAAGAACAGTATTTCCAATTCAAGAGGGAATATTCTGGAACCCACAGCTTGGGGTAAGGGGGTGTTGTGGTGGGGGTGGGTTAGACATGTGTAAGGTGCTAGCGGTACATTTTGTAAAATTGTCATTGGCCTTGTTTAAAAAGTCCTATACATAATATTATAGTGTTAACATATTTGTATAGCTTTCAACAAATCATAGTTTTATTATGTGAATACAAAAAATATCCCATTCATGCATCTTTAAATCCCCTGACATGACTGAATTTAACATTCAGATATGTTACAGCTGATTCATTGTTTTTATTTACATTTACATTTTACTAATTCATCTGATGCTTTTATCCAAAGTGGCTAACAGTAGAGAGAAGGATTACAATTCATGCGTGCCCCTGGCAATCCTTTTTATGAAGCAGGGAAATGAAACAAGGTTGCATTTTAACTTTTGCATGTTTATATTACATGCTTATTAATGGTCTATTTTCGGTTTTGCTCATTTACAGCACAATTTGAATTTGTGTCTAGTTTCTAATTATGATATTTTCACAAATAAGTAAAGGAAATATTGGTTGTGTTCATACCTGCAATGATTAATGTAAGCTCATGGGAGCTGCACTTACACAAAAATGTTCTGAGGGCAGAAGAAAAAATGATAACCAATCAGATAGTAAATGAAGTGGGTTCAAGCAACTACAGAAGGTGGGGCCAACCAATCAGATGTCTGAATAGGCTGGAATACCAATGAGTACCACACACACAAGTTGGTCTTCCTATCTAAATGGGGAGCAGACAGGACAATATGGCAGACAACATCAATGACGGATCTGGGAAACAAAGGAAGACGTGGACTAATAATATACACAAGACTAGCCAAAAGGAACAGGACACAGGTGATCACAATCGGGAATTAACACGAGGTAACGAGGGGGGCGTGGCACACACGAGGATCGGACGAGCTGGGCGTGACAGCCAGCCCAAATACAAGACTTTTGGCATTTTTACTTTTTTTGATTGCACAGATTTTTATAAAACTGAGGTTATCCAAATGAGGACCTCAAAAGATGTCCCCAAAAGTAGGGAAATTTCAGGTTTTACTACAATTTGGGAACAATTTGGTCCTCAAATGTGATCTATGCAAACCCACACACACACACACACACACACACACAAACACACCATGACCAGCTTCTCATTGGAATTCCAGCCAAGGCTTTACCCTTGTTTTGTGTCCTATGCTGCTTGGGATAAGTTGGATAAGCGGTGGGAAGATGGATGGATAGATTAATGAATGGATGGATGGATATTTCTATTTCCCAATGGAGTCAAAACTTATGCTTGTCTTTCTCTCTGCAGTACCTCGGGTGTCCAAGGCAAAGCAGATTTTGGGGTCAGACCATCCATAAATGAGAAGCTCCTGACTGGGTCAGGTCTTGGTCAGGCCGACCTCCACTTGAGAGAGGGGCAGGCACTCTGGGAGAAGAAGGGAACCCAGGCCAGGAGTGAGGATACAGGGTCAATGAGTAAGACACAGGAGAGTGAGGAGGCATGGGAAAAAGAGGAAGAAATCGATTTGGCAGGGAGTAAGGAGCAGGAGAGGGAAGAGGCAGGGGGAAAAGAGGAAGAAACCGATGAGGCAAGGAGTAAGGAGCAGGAGAGGGAAGAGGCAGAGGAAAAAACCAATGAGGTAGGGAGTAAGGAGCAGGAGAGGGAAATAGCAGGGGAAAAAGAGGAAGAAACCGATGAGGCAGGGAGTAAGGAACAAGAGAGGGAAATGGCAGGGGAAAAAGAGGAAGAAACCAATGAGGTAGGCAGTAAGGAGCAGGAGAGGGAAATGGCAGGGGAAAAACAAGAAGAAACCGATGAAGCAGGGAGTAAGGAGCAGGAGAGGGAAGAGGCAGGGGAAAAAGAGGAAAAAACCAATGAGGCAGGTAGTAAGGTGCAGGAGAGGGAAGAGGCAGAATCATGGCATAAAAAAAATGAAAGTCCGAATGCAAAATCCAAAAGTGAAGATTACCAGGCTAAGAAGGAAGAATTGCTGAGTACCGGTCATGAACCTGAGAATACCCATTTAATGAATGAGGAAGGAGAGCTGTTGAATAAAGATCAGGAGAGGAAGGACACACAGTTTCTAAATCAGGAGCAGCAGAATGAGTGGTCCAAGGAACTGGATGAGGAGCAGGTCAGTGATGAAGCAGAGGGACTGAGGAAGTGTCAGGGAAGTAAGGAGGCAGAGATAATGAATGAGGACCACGATAGTGGGAAAGCAGGTCTACTGCATAAGGACAGAGATATAGAGAGGACAGAGTTAGCAAATAAAAACCAGGACAATGACCATATAAAGGTACTGAATGAAAATGAAGAAAATATTATGGTGGAGCTATTGATTAAAAGCCAGGGAAGCAAGCAGGAAGAGTTATTAAGTAAGGAAGAGAAAGGAGTGGAGGCAGAGATTCTGAGTGAGGAACTTGACAATAAGGAGCAAGGGAATCAAGATACATACTGTGAGGAGGTAGAACCACTTAATGAGCATGAGGAGAGTGTGGTAAAAGATTCAGCAAATCAAAACCGGGATATGGGGATGACTATAAACCTATCAGGAGAAATGACACATGGAAAAGAAATAGTTATGTCAGTCAAACAGTTAGTGGACAATGTATCAAGCATCCAGGAAGAGAGAAAACAAAATGGTGTGGATGCAGAGTTATTAAGTAAAGACCAGCAGAACAGGAAGGCAGAGCTACTGAGTATGTACCAGGAAAGTGGAGAGGCAAAGCTGATGTGTAAAGACCAGGGCAAGGAGGAAAGGGAGATACCGAGTAGATACAATGGGGCTATGCAGGCAGGTATCATGGCAATGACCCAGAACAATAATGAGGAAGGGATGGTAAGTAAGGACCAGGCAAGTGGGGAGGCAGAGATACTAAATCAAGATCAAGAGTGTGTGGAGGTAAAGCTGCTGAATAAAGATGAGGACAATGACACAACAGAGACAATGAGTAAGGATCAGGTCAGAGAAGAGACAGGCTTACTGGGCTGTGACATGGAGAGCCAGTTGCTGAATAAGCAGCAGCAGGGTGAGAAGGCCAAGATACTGAATCAATGCCAGAAGGGTGAGGAGGTGCAGTTATTGTACGACGATCAGTATAATAAGGAGACAGAGGTGCTGGGTAAATACAATGAGACTGTGGCAGCCCATATCATGAATATGACGCAGAATGATAAAGACCAGACTAGTGAGGAGGCAGAGGTAATAAATCAGAATAAGCAAAATGTGGAGGTACATATACTGAATGAAAGCCAGAACAGTAATGACCTAGAGAACCTGGGTCAGGATAGAAAAAAGACAGATTTGCTGAACAAACACATAGAGAGTGAGCTACAGGTGATGCACAAGGACAGTGAGGAGGCAGAGATACTGAATAAGCACCAGGATCATGATGAGGCAGTGATAATTAATCTGGTTAAGGAGAGTGAAGAAGCAGAGATCCTGGATAAGGATCAAAACAATGAGGAACTAGAGGAGAGTGAGGAAACTGAGAGACTACAGGATGAGGACAATGAGGAGGCAGAGATACTGGACCAGGAAAATAAAGAGGGAGAAATAACACATAAGGAAAGAGAGGAGACTGCCTTACCAAGCATAGACATAGAGAGTGAGGAGGCAGAAACACTGAATGACAACCAGGAGTGTGTGGAGGTAGAGTTACTGAATAAAGACCAGAACAATGAGAAGGCAGAGATACTGAAAAAGCACCAAGAAGGTGATGAGTTTGAGCCACTGAATACAGATAAGGATGGTGAAGAAGCAGAGATAGAGGTGAGGTACTTGCAGAGTGAGGAGGCAGAAACACTGAATGACAACCAGGAGTGTGTGGAGGTAGAGTTACTGAATAAAGACCAGAACAATGAGAAGGCAGAGATACTGAAAAAGCACCAAGAAGGTGACGAGTTTGAGCCACTGAATACAGATAAGGGTGGTGAGGAATCAGAGATAGAGGTGAGGTACTTGCAGAGTGAGGAGGCAATGATAATACCAAAGGACCAGGAGTACGTGGAGGTAGTGATGCTGGATATGGACCAAGACAATGAGGAGGTACAATTGGAAAAGGAGCTAGAGAGTGAGGGGGCAGAGATACTGAGCAAGCACCAGGAGGGGGGGGACATGGGGGGATTGGCTGTGGAACAAGATGGGG